TTTTTTAATCCTTTCATGAATCCAATTTATATCAAATTTATGATTTCCCGAAATGAAGTTATAAGAGTCTTTCATATTTCACAAGGGAAAGGAGAATAATCCATAGAGGGAAACTTTCTAAATCTCCAAAAACCATGTCAATATCAAATCTATTCAATTTCACCCTATGTTAAAAAGCTTTTCACAATTGTATAAATGTAACACCAATTTAGAAAATATATAAGTGCTCACAACCAGGGCAAAATGAACCTGAATAATCCTTAACAGGCTCACACGTAGAGACAGGAAAGAAGATAGGGGCTCACGGGTAAGGTTAATAAAAGGGACAGCCAAACCTCATAACAAGCCCACAGGTAGAAGCCAGAAAATGCACAACCAAGCTCAAATATAAGCCCATAATTTAGGACAGGAAATAGGACAAAAGCTCACGAGTAGGAGCAGTAAGGAGAAAGCCAAGCTCAAACCAATCACGGCACGAACCAAGGAACCACAACAGTAAGGCTCACGACCAGGGGCAGCGAGGAGAAAGCCAAGCCCTAAACCAACCATATTCAACATAAAAGAGCTACAGGTGAAGACTTACGGCCAGGGGCAGCAGAGAACAGTCAAACAGGATACAGGACAAAAGGGAAACCAGCTAGGATGCTCACAGGTAAGGGCAACAGACCAAAACCAGTAAACAAACTTCACAACAAAGGGAAAAGTTAGGAAAAAAATAAAATAGAACCACGTGAATATCCTCAGGTAAGGGCAGCAGTTCACACAATCAACCAACAAGTGTTCTCAGGAAGGAGTAGTAAAGGAGAAGGCATCACAAATATTGTCATTGTACTCAATTGATATACATAAAAGAGTGAATGGACAAACTCCCATAAACTATCTAGATTGAAGCAATCTAAATTGAAGCCATTTTATATCAAACGAGACATAATAACAAATTGATCAGCTTACATCAAACATTCCAACATAGGAGCACACATTGAAATCATAATTTTTGGGTTGACAAACTTGATTATCAATAACAATCTCGGGACGTTATATGAAGAACTTCCAACCAAACCGAGTCCAGCAAAGGTGCAAGATAGGAAACTGTGACCAGTAAACCTGAGCCCAGCAAGAAGGGCAAGACAGGAACCACAACAGGCACACTCGAGCCCAATAAGGTGGGACAAAAAAAAAACAAAACATAGTTTCAGTCCAACTAAACCCGATGAAAGAGAGTCAACATATAAGCTTTTGAGCCAAACCAATTCCTTCTCTAAAATCCAATTAAACCCAATATAAAGGCTAAAGAAAAGAATACAATTTAAACCAAAATTGCACCCACCAAATGGGAAAAATAGATCAGCATTTCCAGCATGAGCTCAATCCAAAAGAGCCAAAACCGAACCCAGCACATGGGGCAACAGAAAGAATTATGACAGATAAACTGAGCTCAGTAAAGGGAGCATACCAAGCCAAATCTCATGCAAA